GCAAAACTGCAGTAATGGAAATCTGAGATGTAGTCACTGGCCAAAGGCCAGCAGAGACATTGGTCAATTGGATGTGTTACTTCCCTCCCAGCTGCAAAAGAGTTTCAGCAAGGGAAAACAAAATTAAATGTGCCATAATGATTGGAAAAAATGAAAATGTTACCACATTGCAGCAAAAGGAAAATAAGGCACAGAGGTGCTTCTGAAGAGCTACTGAAAACACAGCACTTCCATGTCCTTGCTTCCCATCACTTACTGATACGCAATTCAGAAAGTAACCCCTAATCTAAGGTGTTCCCACAGCTGGCATTTCATATTACTTTAGCTCAGAAAGGAGCAGTAAATATCCAGAGGAAAGAAAACCCCAGCATAAAAGTCCCTCACCTATCCTTCCCTGCAATTAATTGTGATGCAAATACTAATTTTCTTTTACTAATTCATCCAGAAAACCCTTGAATCTGAAAGTTCTGAATGGATTTTCAAGAAATTAAATTGCCTCACCATGGTGTATCTCGCTATTCCATTTCTAACCTGCTCTTAAAGCAAAGAAAGAATGAAAAAAACAATCCTTGTAATCAATGTCTGCAGAAATGTTCACTTGTCCCATGTGCCTGGTGATGTTTTGTTAAAAAAATCATACAATTAGGAGCCTAGAAGATGCAGAAAAATGCATTTTGAACTTTCTCACAATTTTCATGGTATATCCAACTCTCTGTACATGTTATTAGCAGGTTTTTTCAGTGCATGCTATTAACCCAGTTGATTTCTTTCTGGTATGTGATATATAAATCTGCACTTAACAATAAAGCAGAATAATTTGCTATGTGGTGCTCCTGTGATAAGGATAAGAGGATTTTTTTTATCATCATTACGGATGGTAATAATTCCTAGAGTGATACAGAGATATTGATCCACTGATCTAAAAAAAGCATTTTACAAAGGCAGAGGAGCATCACTACCCTTATTTTAAACAACAGGATAACAGAGATGATGAGTGACCAACTCACCTATGGTCAATACAGCACATCAGTGGCACAGCTACACAGCTACAAATCAAACTTGGGGAATTCTGCTATTTTTGCACACTCCAGCTCTCATTGCCTGGCTGTCTGTGTTGGCATCTGTGGTCATGTAGACATTACACAGTGCTGGGAGTCAGGAGGTCTGAAAATTTCCTTAAGCCATTTACAATAAGTGATTTAAAATCTTAATCATCTGAGGCAGTTCACTTCTACTTTTTCATGATAATGAAGCTTAGCACATGATATCACAATCATGAATTTTTGTAAAGCATATTTAGCTCTTCAGAAAAAGTGCTGGATTAAACAACCCTTCAGGCTGAATCCTTCTCTCTGAATAATGAATATTGTACAGAAAGTGGCAAGCTTCTTTAGATAGTCCCATGAACCCTGCTCAAGAGGCAGCCAGCCTCCGTGGCTGTTGGGTCCCTGGGTTCTTTATCTCTACAGCCAACAGGGTATTTTTATTTTTTAATACCTTTCACAGCTAGGAATTACTCGCTGCCAGCCAGCTAATTTCACAAGGACTATCCCAGAGCAGAGCCTTTGGAAGGCAATGCTTTATGGTTGCTGACTATTCTTGTAGTTGATTGAAATATAGCAGGTATAAACAATGCTTATTTCTTAGATGTAGGAGTGAGTAACAATGGGGGAAAACATGACTCAGCCAAAAAAAAAAAATCTCAGTTTCTTTAAAATACACTGCTCCACCACTGGAGTTCTGTGTCATTACTTTAGCCTCATTTTAGAGCTGAGTTTCAAACAGCTGACAATAGGAATTTGGAGTGGAAAAAGGGATGGTCCATTATTAGTAGTGACAGCAATGGGTGTGACTTTAATATTAAAGTTCTGTCAACTCTTGGTTAGGAACTACAATAAGAAACAATGAGCTCCATCTCTCTCCCCTTCTCCCTTTATCTCAGCACTTATATCACACTCATCACAAAGTGTTACATTTTCCCTGGATGCCACAGGATGGGATTTCTCCTTGCTACTGGAGCCCATGTGGTACAATACAACCCTAAATCCTGCCTATGAGTTGATAGCAGACTGTTACCCTCCCAGTGGTAAAGTTGCTGATGTAGTGTAGATGGGCTAAAATAAAAGTCAACAAAACCTTTTTAGTCTTTACTAAGGAAAAAAACTCAACCCCAAACCCAGTCCAAACCAAAACTGTTTTACTGAGCCATGTAACCTGGAGCTATTCCTTGCAACTATCTGCTGGTAATGCAGATTATTTGCCTGAACCCTTTAAGAAAGCTTGAAGGCTGGCATAGATACGAAGGAAGATACTGTTCAAGCTTTTTTCATCTGAGATACCATGAGGTGTACCTGCTAGGCAATTAAAAAGAGATACCAAACAGAGTTTACTGGGCCATATTTCCATCTCACTGCTGTGAGCACTGAACTGAGCTCCCAGAGGCTCTGGCATGGCAAAGTCAGGGTTTTCCTCAGACAGTGACTATTTTTCATTCACCTCTCTGTGTCTAGGAAGGGAGCACATCTGGATGGGTGATGAGAAAATAAATTATGTTTGTGGCAAAGGGAATTAACATCTTGGAAATGGTAACATGAATTAAAACTCATTGAGGATTGGAATTCTTTACAAAGATTTAACAGTGTAAATTCTCCCTCCTGAAGCAGTTTTTCACCTTGTGCTTTTTCAGTCAAGCTCCCTCCTCTGCAGATGTCCCTCAGTACTTTTCATTTCAACTGCAATACCAGCCATTTTCACAACACTTTGCCTTCTCTCATGGAGCGGTGGTTCTGTGAAGCTGATAAAAATCTGCCTGAAAACCTGGTTGGCGCAGCTGAACCCATTTTGAAGTGTGAACATGGGTGTGTAGAAAGCAATTCGAGTTTAACAAGGCATGAGGCATGAGGGCATGATAGAATATCAGTCGTGATTGTGACCGAAATGAACCCGAGCGGCACAGAGGATGCAGCTCTGCTGTGCTCACTGGTGTGTGACCTACCTGGACTGAGATCTTCAGCCTCCAGCAGGAGAGAACAGCACTTTAACTGTACAGCTGTGCTGGCCAGCACACAGCACTGCCCTGCCTGATACATTGGAGACGTGGCTTAGGAATTTCAGCTCCTGATTGTTGTGAGATTGCTGTTCACAGCAGAACAAAACCACCCCACCAACCTCACTTACTCTGCTGGATTTCATAATTAGCTTTTCTATGTTCCTGCTATACTGAGTCTGTTGAATTAAAGCAAGCATGCAGTGGGATTTTTATGGATCCCAGGAAAGATCCATTTCTTTGTTGGGTGATGCTGACAAGTCAATTAAATCTTTTTTTGGGGCTCAAAACATCTGATGCGCAGATCTTGTTATTTCAGCAGTTAATTAGCTCCTTTCCCACTTGTGTCTTCCGTCATCCCTTCCTTGTGCTGCTCACACAATGAAATCAGTGAAAATCAGAAATACTTATTTTGCCTCAGTGTTGGGTCTAGAAAGATAATGGCAACACTCTACTCCATCAGTAAACATTCCTTATTGAGCTATTGATTAAACCAATTTTTGTCCTGTGCCCTAATCTTCCCCAGGGCAAAAGCCATAATTGCCTGAAGGGACTGCTGCATCCAAGCCCCAAAAATTTGGGGATCATAAAGCATAAATGTAAGTGCATAATTTCCTTGGGGCTCCCTATTTATTGTAAGAGTGGCTTTTCAATAATTCCTTATTGTTCAGAAGTAGTAGAGTACGTGCTTCCAAGCAGTGCCATGATATATAGGAATACCTGCACTTCCATTGCTGAAATTTATAGGTGTTTTATAGAAACTGGAAACCCACATGCACAAATTATTGCACAAAATTTTGTGGATCCTATTGCCTACTAGAAACAAGTAGATCCAAAAGTAAAGAAAAAACAAATCTAAATCTATACTCATATCTATAAGCAAAGTGGTAATAGATATACATATCACCTTTTTCTGTGCCTTTTGAAAATGTAATAAAATGCATAAACTGTGTACTTTCTATGTATTTGTTTTTCCTATAGATGTGATGTTTTTCACAGCTCCACAATTAAAATTACTTTACTCCCTGTGCCATTAAATGGCTGTGGCAGGTTACAACAGCATAATCCTGCACTGAGAGATGGGACTATCCTTATTTCCTTTTCTACTCAGGAACCCCTGGCACTGATGTTTTGAGAAGGTTCATGCTCTGAGAATAAATTCAGGTCCACATACCATGGAGTTAAGATGCAGTCTGTATCATCAATATACATTTATCTTTCTTTTCAATAGGTTTTCAGAAGGCCTTTCCCTAAAAGGTACTTTTGCACTCAAAAGAGATCACTGGTTATTGAAATCTGTGCAGCATTTCATTTCCAAGTTCAGGTTGGCCACTTGACCACTCTTGATGGTGATGCTTAACACCTCTGCCCTGGTTTTTGGGTTGTGGTAGAGGCGCAAGATTTAAAAACTCTCTTTACAAACTTTTGTCCAGGCAAAGCTCTCAGGTCCAGGGTAACCTCTTTGTTTCTCACTTACAGCAGACCTATGTTTTGCATAGAGTTACAGAAAACACAGGAATGGAGGAGATAGTGCTACAATGAGGGCCAGTTCCCATCACCCTTCATGCCCTCAAGCAGTCATTTACAGTCCTGTCCTTTTGGTTGTTTTTTTTTTTTTGGCCTTGTGCTACAAAGCAGAAATGGGGTCAGGGGAGCAACTTTGATTTTGTGAGAGCAGAAAACTGAGGGTGTTTTCTCAGGGTGCAAAGGAACCTTTCCAGCTGACAAACAGGTGATAACACAAGTTAATATGTTGGCACCGAGACCTTTCTGACACTGGAAATAAAAGGTGATAATTTCAGTCACTGTGAAAAGTTCATGTGGATACCTTCATCACGTGGGATGTATTACAGAGTAACCTCTCGCTGCAGACAGCAGCTCTGCCTACCTTGGCTGTGACATAAAGCTCCCAATTAGCACTTAAGGAAAGAGACTTTACAGGCTGCACACTCACCTCGGCTCAGCCCATCTGGTCCCCGAAGGATTCGGCATTCTTCTATCTGGCCGAACGGAGAAAACATCACCCTGATATCATTCTCATTACACTTCTTCGAAACCATTCCTATGAACAATTTTCTGTCTTCCACAGCTAGAAGATAAAAATAATGAATGAGCAAAGGCCATTTCATCTTTTTGCTGTGATCAATGCTTCATTACCACATCAAACCAAGCTCCAGTCATGTGAGTCTGGCTCTGTAACTGAAGACAAGTCCTAAGGCAAACACTTTATACTTACAACCTCCCTTCCCCCTTCCTTCCCCACCCCAAATATCTCATTTTTCTCTCTCTCTCTCTCTCTCCTTCTTTTTAGTGGTGCCTGCTGTTTATATAACATATTAATTGGCTGTCTTAGTCACTCTGCATACACCTCCCCTTCACGGCTTCTAAAAGGAAAGTATCCTCCCTTACAGACACTTTTAAAGATATCTTTGCATAGATTCTAATTCAGATAAATTCCCTCATCCCCCTCATGTGTGAAAGAAATCATGATGGGGTGAGGGTGAAGAAGGGATTGTGCACATAATGATACAAGCTAATGAAAAATATTCCTGAGAATTGTTTTGAGAGCAGCTCCTATCTGAGCTTTCAATTTCAGCCAACTTAATGCACAGCACTGGAAAGGCAGATGTGCAATGACTGCTCTGGAAAAAGAATGCATTAAATTTTTCTGCTGTTTTGTTGTTTTTTTTCAGTGCCACAGGCCTCTGCCCTTCAGGAGGACATAAGACATATTTCAGGACATCACCTGAACACCTTCTGATGCGTAATGATGCTGAGTTTGCAAAAAACCACCAAGAAAAACATGCTTTACCTGAATTATTGGTAGAGTATTTTCTGCCTGCACTGTCACCAACACCAGCACAAGCTGGACTGCTGCAGCAGGATGCACACAGTCCTATTAATCAAACCCAAATTTACAGGTCTAATGCTGGGGACTCTTGTCAAAAATGAAAGAGGTCATCAAAACTTAATCCACTCTGGAAAAACTTAAAAATGTTGAGGCACCCACTCATCTATATTAAACCAAAAATCTAAGTGCTTATTATACAGTACATACACCAGTGCTTTCTTCTTCTCTGGAAATGGCATGTAAATCCAATTCCTTGTTAATGAGCAGACTGTCAGGGTTTGTGGGGAAGCAAAGAGGGAAGGAAAGCTTTACTCCAGAGAGTCTGCAGTGCACTTACTTATTTCTATTATTGTGCAAATTATTTTTGTAATGAAGTATTTTCATTTCTGGGCTTACAAAAAAAAAAAGAATCCTCTCTTGCTCTCTAACTCTGTCTCCTGTATTAGTACGAGTTTGTCATATGGAAAAAATTGCAGCTGAGGAAGAAGGAACTGCGTTCATTTTTTCTTGGATTTTATTTCTGTTATACTTCAACATTTTCAGTGCATTTAATAATTTCAAGAATAACAGGAAGATGTTCATGTTTATTGATCACAAGAAGCATTTGAAGTAATTTTCTCCTTAAATCGCTGACTTTAAAAAGTATTTGTAGCTTTTATATAAGCAAGCACCAAACCCATGCATTTTTCAGAGCCCAAAACAGAGGCCAGCCCCTGCAATCCCAGCTTCTCACTCTACCAGCTTGCAAGAAAATTGGTGTGAATTTAACACCCAGGGGAAGATGTTTTCTTCAGCAGAGATTCCTCAAGACTGAACATTTTCATTCACACTTTATATTGAGGTTCCACACGCAGGTGAACCCTCCAGAAAGGGTTAAGAAATGCTGAATGCATGGGATGAGCCAGTTATATACAGATCAGGAGCTGAATATGCGTGATTGCAAATAAGACCTGCAAGTTTTTATATATGTATATATATGTGTGTGTGTGTGTGTGTGTGTGTGTGTGTGTGTATGTGTGTCTTATTATGAAGCTTTACATCTCATTCATAATATATACCTGACCTTGATGCTGCTAAATATTATTTTAAGGGTGGGAAAGCTGAATTACCTTGCTCACAGCGACAAGAGGAGTACAGGCAGACACTTCTGCTGGTGAAAGGATACCTGTAACCTGGCTGCAGACAATTCCTATATTGCCTTGAGCAATCTCTTTGAGGAAGTTCCCTGGCAGCCTGTCCCCTCAACAACAGCCACAGACTATGGCCATAGTGCAGGAAAGATTTTGAGACAAGGGACCCAGCTGGGCTGCCAGGCCTGGATTTCTCCACACCACAGACTGAGGTCAGGTTGGGTGAAGCCTTGGTGCCAAGCACATTTCCAAGCATTGCCTTCTGCTCTGTGTTATGAACCTCTTATTTTGTGTCTCTGTGTCAGCCAGTACCAACCAGTTTAAATTTGATCTTAGGCTTGAAATAGTGTGCAGGTCTACCTTAAGGGTGGCCAGGCTCCAACTCTCTTTTAAAAATAGCTGCTGGCTAAGTTGGACAAATGCCTGCCACAGCATCCCAAAGGAGGTCCCTTGGGTCCTGCTTTGGTGCCAGGACAAAGCCTCAAACCAAAGAGATTCACATGGAGACTCAAAAAAAATGAGATGTGAACAGAAGGTTTTGTTTTAATTTTCCAAAGAGTAGCAGGTGACAAACTCCCCATCGGCCTCTTTTGGTTTTGGTAGTAAACCTATAAATATGCCATTTAACTAACATGATTTGCAGGTTTGCAGCTTGAGGGTGATTTTATAGTAAATTAAACATCCAGCTCCTGTGTACTGTACATCTTAAAAATGCAGATTTCATGAACAATGCTCAGAGTACAGAAAACATATTGATATGATGACGTGCTCTGCATTCAGTGCCATTAGTCAGTGCTGATCAGTGTTGAAGCTTAAGAAAATTGCTATTCTTTTTCTGGCTAGAGGTCCAGCATAAAAAACATTTAAAGTGACAATTGTCAAGATCAAAATGACATGTTTTCACTCCATCTGATAGAACATCTGATATTATTAGGCTGAAAGAGTTTTTCCCACACAGAGAAAGGAATACTTTTCCACCTCAATAAGACTAATTTTCAAGAGTTATTTCTGCATTTTTGGTCAGCCACTTCTTTCTTTCTAAAATGAATTCTTACCAGCCACACAGGCAAGGTGTGAGGATCAGACAACAGAGTGCAAGAAGTGTGGGTCAAATGCTTTTAGAGGTGAGCTAACTTCCCTCTGGATCTGCCAAGCCTGTGGGTTTTCCTGTGTGTTTTGGATTTCTCCCATGGACTGTACAATAAGGATTAAACACACCTGACCCAGATCTGGGACAGGTGCTCCTGCTTAGGGGAAGCATGGCAGCCTAAACCCATCTGGCCTAACTTCAGTGACCTACAGGTTTGGTCTCAGCTCAACTGGTTGTTGGCAATGCCAAGAGATCAGCTCCTTCAAAGAGTGACAGGTCTCACCTCTCCCAGCAAGGTGGCAAGGTGCTTGACAAGGCATTTCTCCCTTTGTCATGGAAGTCTCTCCCCTGCTACTGAGATTAGATTACAGATTTTTTTTTACACTGACTGAGTGCATTGACAGATGTTGTTACCTTCCAGCCAACTCCCAGATCTTGGGCATCATGACATCATGTAGATGTCCTGAGCTCCAGCTGCAGGGACATCAGGAATGAGTGAGCTCTGAGGGGCTGACAAAGCTTGGGAGCTGCCAGTGCTTTGGGCAATGAGAGCAGGCAAAGCAAAAGGCTGGGGGAAGGATAACAGTGTGCAAGGGCCAGCACATGTACACATCTCTCAAAAGCATTTCACTGCTGCTTGATAACTCTCTCTCCCACCCTTGGGGTAGGTTTCAACAATTCAAAATCCAGAAAAATCAAAACTTTTTTAGCCTGCATTTGACATCATTATTTCTGAACCCCCCCTTATGGACTTAGCTGAACTTTCTGACTATTTTGCACCACTCTGGGGGAATGAAGGAGATGCAACTGTTTGGAAGCAGCAGGTAGGATGGGGTGGCTGAGTGCCCCTCCTTGATGGAGCAGAAGGAGCCAGAAGGTCACAGTAAACAAGGCCTGAAGTTCTATTTATAGGAAGGAAAGTGTGAAACCACACAGTTTCTTGATTAACACATTATGGGGTTCACCTTTAATCCATCTCAACACATTACAAATGCAGGTTGGCTGTGCTGCCAGGGCAGTTCAAATGACACATCCAGTGCTGAGCCTGCTGGATTTGGGCTGGGGTTTGCCAGAATGCAGGAGCACTGCATGAAGAGGTACAGACACCTGTTTTCAAATGAGCAGAGTTGCTCTTTTAACCCTATCAAGGCTAGCACTGCCATCACTAGCACACATGCCTGGGCATCGTGTTTGAACCCAGAACTCTGCCTTAGCCATCAAAGGTTATCTGAGATGAAATCTGTCTCTGCTGGGAGGGGAACTTTTCAAACTGAGCCTCCTGTCTTCTGACAGCACTACATCCACCTTGCAGAATAACATCCTGAAGGGTCTAATTTTTTAGCTTTACTCAATTCGCTTCAGTAATGAGCATTTCTTGCAGGCTGTATTAGATTGCTTGTGCTAACCCAGGAGGATAAAGGAGTAGAGATTATTTTCTGAATGCTACAAAAGAATTAAACCCTGTAATAATTGTGGGAAATCTCCCTGAAGATTCAACATAACTTTTATTTTCACTCTTCCAAACCCCCAAAATTCTGAAAGATCAAAATTATAACCCTTTATTGTACATTTCTGAGGAGTCCAGTCAGATAAAGAGTGCATTTTCTCCCCAGAAGATGCCTTCTCTTTTGAGCAACTAGAGAAATAGTTAATTATGTATAAATGGTGTGGAGGTTTTGGGGTTTTTTTGGTTTGGTTTTGGTTTTTTACTCCCATATAGAAGGGAAAAGGTGAAATTAGACTTTTTATCCCTAACTGTAAGCCTGTGAAAACCCCTTGCATACAATCTGTCAAAGTCACACCTGAATCCGGAGCTGCCTGCATTAATTATCAACTTTTCTATGTGTTAGTGCTAACATATGGCATCTAATTACTACCTCCAATTCGGCAAAGTTGTGCCACATAGAATTTCAAAATTATTTTTTATATTTTCCACTAAAGAAATCAATAAAAATAAATTTTAAGATTACTCAGCTACCCTCCTCCCTCCTTTATTTTTTAAATGGAGAATTTTGTCATTTTCCCTGAAGCAGTGATGCTTTGATCCATTTAAGAGCATGCTGTCTGCAGGATATGTGCCTGAAAGTATTGACTGTGTTCAAATCCAGATCCAAGACATTTAGGCATTTGCAAATTGTAGGATGTTAATGGCCATAGACAACTTAGAGTCAAGCAGGTGTTTGTAAATTTTTCAGCATTAGACTGGAGGAACCCCTTTTGTTTGAAAAAGGGAAAATGTCCTTAAAAGGATAAATACTGTGACTGATGAATCTAGTAATGGTGGAGCCTTCAAAGTAAAACATGCTTCTTTGGCAGAAAATCCTTAACCAAAACTTTCTAGACAGGTTAAAACAACCTGCACAAAGGTGATCAGACCAGGACACACTACAAAATTCATCATCTGCAAATCTTCAAGAGACGTTATGTTTTTCAAGAGTTAAGAAGCTTTTCAGAATCCCTCTGGGTAGACAAATTAATTAAATCTGAGGGCAAGTCTTGCCCCATCAACTCTAGGTGCTAAAAACTTGGTGGAAGAGATCAAGATTTGTTTCATCTGCATGAGCAGAGAAATGACTTAGACACATTGTAGGCAGGGAATGAGCCACTGGAATGGGTTGCCCAGAGGAGCTGTGGATGCCCCAGCCCTGGAAGTGTTCATGGCCAGGTTGGAGGGGGCTCTGAGCAGCCTGGTCCAGCTGTGCTGGAGCTGTCCCTTCCATACCCATCTCCCAGTTTCCATGAGGTGAGCTTGGCCTCTGGTGTCAAGGGACAGATTCCTCAGGTGACCCAGACATCTAAGGGCAGGAACAGTGATGGAAAGGGAGGAGCATTTCATCCTGGGAGGCGCTGGCTTGGATGGTCATTCAAAGCTTTTTCACAAAGGGACTCAATATGGGGAGGGGGCATTTAATCACACAGAAAATACTGTTCTTTGAAAACCTCTGTAAACTGAATGAGAGGACCTGTCCTTCCTCCCTATGAAACTTGAACAGGTCTATCAATTCACAAACACGTACAAGCTCAGAAGAACTGTAGTGTGTTCAACTTGTCCTACACGTGTTTCCATAAAAAAATTTTGACCAAGAAAATTTCTTAAACCTCTTTGCAATCTGAGAAACACCACTTTACCCATAAAATCCACTGGGATCCTCCCATGACTCAGAAATCAAAGAGACTTGAGCATTCCTCAAAAGCTCAACCAGCACGGATCATGAAAACCAAGATGCCTTGGCATGTCTTTTTTCTCTTCCCCTTTGAATTTACCAGTCTGGTTGAAGAGGTACAGTTTACAGTTTGCCGTTGGCATGGATAATATACCTCCTCAGATGGATAGCCTGGAGCATATGGGAAACATGTGCCAAACAAACCTCCACATCCCCCACACTGTTGTTTTTTTTCTCTTTCTTGATCTCCCAGCTGCTGGCAAAGTGTCACCCACTCCATGAACCCCATGCCTACGCTCTGCCTTTCTGAGGAGCTGTACCATTATTACCATCATCGTGGTATTAGTTTGCCTTTTGCTTCTCCAGTTGATTAAAAAAAAATAAAAATAGTTCACCACCCCTTGAACATGCCAATCAAAAGTTCCCACACCCTTCAGGAATCTAAATTTTAAAAAGTGTTTAATTTGACAGTTGGAGCCCCTGAACTGACAATTTGTTTTTTCCCCAAAAATACAAAGAAAGGCAAGGAAAAAAAAAAGTGAAAAACCCAATCCCTAGTAATTTTTATGCTTGGAATAGATGCCAGAAAATAAGAGAGTATTCCCACAGTGCAAACAGGAGTTTCATGCAGATAACCCTAGACTAACAGCAGCAGCCAGGAGCCAACCTACCCTGCTTTCCAAGCAGGCAGTACTTGCAGAGAAGGACAGAATTTGCACAATTCCCCACAGTGTTTTTCCAATATGTTCAATCTCCTTTAGAAAGAAACACTTCAGGCAACGAACAAGTAACTCACTGGGAGTCAATTTTGGCCCATTGCCTCTTATTTTTCTAATTTGCCAAGGAAATTGAGGTGAAATTTGTCTTTGAAAGAAGAATCCACGGAGGCCATACTTAGTTCAGGCCAGCGTTCCTGTGCCTAAGGGATAATTGTGCCCACTGCTAGCAGTAAATACTAGGGACTGGAGTCTGGATTCCAACAGCAACGTTCTCCTTGACCACAGTGGGGCCTGAAAACTTCAGTCCTTCTGCCCATCCAGGTGCCTTGGCCTCTATTCTGAGCACTCAAAGACAGCAAGAAATTACTGCTAAAAATCTTTGGGAAAATGTTCTTCACCCAGAGGGTGGCTGGGCACTGGAACAGGCTCCCCAGAGCAGTGGTCACAGCACCAGACTGACAGAGGTCAAGGAGCATTTCGAGCACGTGGTGGGATTTTTGGGATTGTCCTGTGGAGGGCCAGGAGCTGGACTTTGAGGATCCTCATGGATGGATATCTATCCTTTCCAACTCAGAAGATTCAATGATTCTATGATTCCAACCTGAGAGAGAGAACACCCCCTCCCATACAAATGGGTGATGGTTCATATTTCCTGGTGCTCACGGCCACTTTTGTTTGGAAAGTTGTCATAATGGGAAACCTAGCATAATGTGAAGTTTTAATTTCCTTCCAAACTTCATAATCCTTGGAGAAGCCTGAAAAAGGGATGCACTACAATTAGCAAAAAAAAGAAGCCTTAAAAAAGCCTTGCGGAGAGATTTAGAGCCCAATCATAATTTACATTTGCAGGTATGTAGATCTCTAAGTGCACGGCTTCTGCCCTGATTACTAATTAATGAGGTGCAAAGATGCCTGTTGGAGGAACCAGCTCTGATTATGTGGGCCTTAAGGGAAAATGAAGCTCTTGCAATCTAAGAAGGCAGATGATATCTTTAACATATATTTTAGAAAATTACAGGAACAAATCAAGGGGCAAAATATACACGTATATATTTTTAAAGAATCACATGCTGCCAAGTTGCACTACCATTCGATTATCTTATTTTCCTGAATATATAAACCTGGCATGTTTAATAGATTTACCTTGCCATCTATTTTGCATGTCATATACATCCACTTAGGCATTACCCTAGTATTCCAAATGGATATTACTGTCTTTATAGCATTCATTTTTCAATCGTTTTGAGGAATAAGTATACAGAGAGCTCCTAAGTGGGCTTCCCAGCCCATAATGAAGCATATGATTAAAACCTAAATTTGGCTCAGATTCAGAATGGCATCATTGTGTAAAAAGGTACTTTTGGCAAATGTTTAAGGCTGATCATGTACTTACATAATTTGTTAACACAGGTATGCCTTTTTGTTTCTTTTATTTTAAATTTCCAGCATCAACATTTTATCTCCATCTCATCAATCTCAGGTGCTCCCACAATACCTCACTGTTAGAAGAACCCAAGGGAAGGATGTATGCAGTGAGGTAGGTCATGACATACAGCAGGTACAAGGAAGACCCTTTTTTGAGGACATTTCCTTCCTTCTTTAAAGCAGAAGATAAAAGGGAGTTCAGAGCAGCTCAACACCTTCCCAGCATGTCAGGTGTAGGGAAACTGCCTATTATTTTCACCACAAAAGGAGTAAAGCAAAAATCGTCACAATGTTGTGCTTACTTTAGTTTAGAGAAAGATACAATCAAGTAAAAATAAATTGAACACATACCATTTGACTTTTCACTATCTGCAGGTTTCATCTGAATAGGATGATGCATCTAAAAACAAAAATGAAAGAGAGTAAGGCAGGTTGGATAGTCATAAAAAATCAAGAGTGATGTTTTTAATGAAGGGCTAAAAAGAGACACAATTTAATATTAAACATGTTGAAATTATATCAATTCAGAATAACATTGTATTATAGGCTTATAAGAAAAAATTAAATGGTAAAGGAGTATTTTATAATGAGGAAGTTTAAAAAAAAAAGATCATTGGGCCCATAGGACTCATATAAATCTTTAATTTGCTGTATCTAGTTTCAGAAGACCTCTAAAGTTACAGCCCTCATTAGTTTATGGCATGCTTGGTTTCTGTTTTACCAACTTTTTTTTCTTGAGCTCAACCACTGCCAAAACCAAGATGTAATTTTCAAGTAATTTAAGAACTAGCAAGCATTTCAAATGTTCTCAGAGGAGTTGAGTTTGACAAATGAACTTTGCTTGTAATTAAAAAAACTGTGCTCATTCTTTTAGGACTGAAAAAGAAGAGATCTTGATTCCTAAAATAGCTTCCTATAATTGTTCAGTATCTCATATTTTTGTTTTAGAATCCATTACACATTCATTCATAAAGCTCCCACCACAACACATAACAATTCTGGCTTCCATAAAAATTCCAAATCCTTTTTCCTTTCCAACCTCTTCCTCCATCCATGTCCCTCTTACTGCAAAGGAACCCAACTCCTGTCTGCAGCGTTCTTGCTGAACATCCCACCTTGGCACACTTGGGCTGCTGCGTCCTCAGCTTTCCCTACTAAATGATACTGCTCCCACACTAAATTGTTGGCAGCTCCAATAAAATTCCTACAAATGCTGTTTTTGTTCTTTCAGGAATAATAACACCACAGCAGTTGAGCTCCCTCATGATCAGAGTTTTCTGCAGGACATTGGTGATAGGCAGCCCTGTGGCCATTGTGGTGTGCTCAGGGAAATTTTATTACAGCTTCTCAAAAGCCTCTAGAAGTGACCTCACATTGAGATTCAATGTAGGAGATGTTTAAGCCTGCAAAAAAAACCCATTTTTATTTTCTTTCTTGGACTCTGCATAGTTACTGGGATTTGATTGCACAAACCTTCCAGCAGCAGCAGGGCCACTGCCTTTTCTCTCCTCAGCAATTCCTTACCAATTCAGGTGAACAGGTGAAAAAATGTATGCTTTTTCTACTTTTCTATCATTTTTCAGTGCAGCACAGCTGTGTATTGCCTGAAAATGTCAGAGGCAATTCCATTTTCCTAATAAAAGATTGTTATGACAAACTCTGGGAAACAAAAACAGCTGAGCAGGAGAGAACATCCATGCCCTCATATCAAATATGCTTTCAAAGCTGCACAGAAACCCACATCTGCATTGCTTTTGGTGAAGTAACTTAACCACCAGGGAAAAAGTTGCTGGATTCTTCAGAAAATATAAAATATTGCTGTGAATGTTTCTGTTAGATTTATTCAAAGTCCAGAACGCTCCCTGGCCTTGCAAATCAATGTGTTTCCTGTGCTGCTTGCACAACTCCCCAGTGTGTCCTAAGGAAAGGCAAAGCCACAAGGTAGATGTAATTGTCAGGATGCATAAATTTTCCTCAGTTTTAACAATTCTGCTCTCTTTAAATCATTTGTTTCCTAAATGGACTTTAATAGCCCAGCACTTGCCTGCTACCACTCTTATTAGATCAGTTCTATAGAAAAAAGGGAACTTCTATGGTTCTCTGTCTTCTTTAGTGCTTAAGGTATTTCCTGACATCAACAATACACTGGGCACCGCAGGAGACTTAAAATTTGTGGGAATGTGAGGCAGCATGTCCACTCAGCAAGCAAAAACAGAAAGAAGAAAAAAGGTGTAACTTGCTCCACAAGGCTGTTGCAGGTTACTGAGGTCTCTGAGGAGCAATGGAGTGGTGAGAAAATAGAGGAAAGAAAGGCAAATATTGAAAATCCAGGAATATGCAGGATATAAGAGAAAAACCCAGCCCAATTTCAGGCCTTTTGTAGACAGGGAATCAATCAATTGCTCTTTACAAATGTGTTTATGTGCCCCTAAGAGGAGATATTTTGAATAAAGGCTATTCTGACAACATAAAAAAACCTCTCACTTTTCAAACTGCCCAAACCAGAGAAGCCAACTTTAGACCAAATTCATGAGAAGAAGTTATTTTTGCAGCCCATGGTCACAACATAAAGATCAGTGTCACCTGATAAGCACATTTACTGCATATCCAAAGTCATCCTTTTCAGTCACACATCATTACCCCAAGTTCATTAACTCAGTAATCTGGTACATTCACAAACAAAGAGGCAAGATTTAACATGATGCTTCAAATAGGTTTTGACTTGATTTCAAAAGTTCCTGCTAAAAACTCATGGTCCTCTTCACACCATCAGGCTGAATTTGGGAGTGATGCCATTGTGCTTAAAACCAATGAAAGATCCAGCTCAGGCCTGGAGAGTTTAAACTGCAGAACACCCCCAGAAAAAATGGAGGTGATACACAAACCTGGCTTCAGTGAAGAGGAAAGTGGAAAAATACCTTACTGACAGTTTCCTAACATGAGAGGGCTCATGTTGAAGCTTGTTTAACCCTGACCATCACCAATTGATACGTTAACAACCTTTAACACTAGATTCAATAAAACATGCCATTTATAACCTGAAATGGGTTTTACAGAGTCACTGGTTCGCATCTCATTATTAAACTCATTGCTGACCTCTAGAGACAACTGCCGTGACAATACATATTATAAGCTCTCTACCCATAAAATATTTAAAGGTAGGTGTAAAAAAGAAAAGAAAAGAAAAGAATGACTCTCAAAGAAGTGTGTAGTGAATAAGAAAATTAAAGGGGCAGAGACAAAAGTTAAATAGGTACTATCCTTTCACTCTACAATGAGCAAAAGACAAAATAATCAGTACGTTTTGTATCTCCCTTGTATAACTGCAGGCTATAAAACAATAAAATAGCTGTGCTTTCCCAGGCCCTCCAAAAGATTACAGATGATATAAAACTGTTTCAAATTAGATGCCACTCACTAGAATCATGTCATCTACAGAAATGAAGGATTTCCCATCTTATCAGGAAGCTGTTATTGTAACTATACATCACTTATGGATCTCAAGGTAAGTGATTTCTCAGTATGTCATGTTGTCACACAGAACAACAGGAAACATTTCCTTCTTTTCCTGGAGAAAGCTTTGCTTATGAAAATACAGTATTTATGAATGCACACTTACAATTAATAAAGAGGCAAGAACAAGAAAAATAACCTCAGCAAGTAATTTATTACCTTGAACATCATCCCGTGCTCAGCACACACAGTAAAAGAGAACAACACAGCACTCAGGCAAGTTCTTTCTGAGCATGGCCAGCTTCCCCTGGCAAGCACTGTGCATGGGGATATCAAACCCAGGCTGGAGTATGGGCTTTGAGGGGCAACCTCTCCTCATCAGTATTACAGAGAGTTCTACTGAGCACACTTGTGCAGCAAGAAGGGCATGACCTGCCCTTCCTACAGGTGCTCTGTGTCCATCCCAAAACACACCATGCCAGTGTTTTACAGCTGAGAGCAGGCAAATGCCTGTTGCCCAAGATTGCCAGTGCCTTGTGGCAGTGCTGGCAGCAACGTGGGGGCTTCACTGCTGCTTGTGCTGTCACAGAGGCCACCCAAAGCCTGGGGCCAGGAACGTCACTGCCTCTCCTTGGGCGCATCCCAAGCAGGGGTGCTGAGGCAGTCCACGGGAATCAAAAAGGCAAAGAAACAGTTGTCAAACATGCAACCCTGAAAATCCCCCTGAAATTAATGAGAATCTGGCTGCTGGCTGTGTCCAGGGCAGCAGCAGGACCACGCCAAGGCCTAGGATTACAATGGAATAGTTACATCTTTTTTTTCCCCCCTCTTTTTCCTGAGTACATCTTGCTGTATGTAAACATGTCATCAGAGAAAAAAAAAACCACAGCAAAGCAACCCAATGCATCTCAAAGGCATGCCACCTCTCCAGCTTTAGAGCCTCAAAGTCATCTTTTCAACAAAAATAGCAGTACCTATTTACATTCTTGTCAAAGCCATGTGACATCTGCATGGGAGAAAACAAGCCGGCTAAGAGTCTATTTCTGGCAAAAATATTGCAAGGAAATTAGATTAACCTGGGTGGAATTCTATCTGGGAATTTGGAGTCTGTCGTGGTGATTAAGTCATCATTTCTGTCAGATTACTCTAATCGGCTGTCAAATACGATTCCACAACCCCATCTGTAACTTGGCATCCTCGTTATTCAGTCGATGTTACCTTCTGTATACAAAACAAACACCAAACAAGGAGGTGTGTGCAGTCTAGCATTTAGCAGAGTCATTAGCTGTGATTACTATTGTGTGGTTGCACGTTGCACAAGGAGATCAGCTCATGGTTTGTTTTGTTTAGTCAGGGGACGCTTCAAATCAGGTGTAATCTTAAGCCTGAGGTGTCAGGGGTGAATGGGTAAGAACTGTCTCCAGGCATGGGTGAGCATGGGCTTGGCACATTCCAAGTCACCACTGCATCAACAGCAACTGCTTAAATCACATTTCAGAGCTGTCAATATATTTGCTGGAAAGGCTTTTGGACACCTGCTTTCCATCAGTTTTCTGAAGAGAAATGGGCATTCAGATATTCTGGGTAGGCTAAAGACTTCCTGCGAGCAGGAATTTCTGTGAGTGAAGCACGGTTTGTAGGAGGAGGCAGTTGGCACTGGAAATGGTCTGTATTGGCTGCTTCAAGATGTTACACATCAGTATGTCAGTCTTACACAGGACTTTGGTGATTAAAAGCAGGAGATGCCTTTCAGTGAAGATGAAGGAGCTGATGGGCTCATTTTGCTGCAGCTGTGTTGAGTCTGTGAAATTTGGATATCCTCAGCATCTCTGAAATTCTGGCCACCTAGACTGAAACTTTTCTTTTTTTTTTTATGGTCTATTGCAAAAGCACCTTTACACATGATTACTACACCAGTTAGCAGCTTTTATTATCCATTCCTGCCAC